CAGCCAAATTTCATTCTTAACAGCTAAATAGTAGCCCATTTGGTATATTGTACAGTGATTCTATGTGTTTAGAAACAGATTCATCATTTAGATGAATCTAATGAATTTAATCATTAACTTTTAAATTTTTCTATGGAACCTCTGCTACAAGAAACTTCTACTAAACCCTATGCTGATTGCTTTCTAAAGTCATCCTTAAACTTGTTTGGAACCACTAATTACAATTTAGTTCAAAATATTTATCCATATAAAAATTCTTATGAAACAGTGTGATGATTAAGTTGATACTAACTGCACCAAGTTTGGGCCTTCCTACTGAAATATGTAGCCCTGAAGAGAACAGGTTATGCACCCACATGAGAAAGGATAGATCCCAGCATCTACTGTGTGAAATGGGGAGAAAGAAGTACATTTTCTCTACAGTGCCTTCCAGAAGTAATAATGTATTACATTCCATTGCAATGATGACAACTGCTGGTACCTATAAACACTTGCCCTATACATGACAGTTGTTATACTTGGTGCTTTTCAAGGGTCACTAAGAGTACTTTGAAAAGCACACTACCTTAAGGCACATTTCGATTTCAAAGACCATGAGACCAGAGGTTCAAGTGAAACAAAGGCCCAAACAACAAATTCTCTAGAATAAAGCAGCAAACCTCTTTGAGGCCTACTCACAGAAGGGGTGTGTGTGTGTTATAGAGATTCCCTAAAGATTAGACACATACACAAACGCCAGAGCCCACTCAAACAGCCCGGCAAAGAACAGCTCCTGGCTGATAAAGGGGCAGAGTCCCAGCACCGGAGGCCAGGAGTGACCTCACTGTGAATGAGTATCTAGAGACTATTCTAGGGTCTCTGACAAATCTGCAAATCTCAAGGACCTGGCAATCAGGATGCAAAGTGCATGCTGTGGTTGGGGTCACATGTGGTCCTATGAACATGTACCTACTAGGGCAGAGACCTCACTTTTTTTTTTTAAAGCTATGCTCAGACCACAGAACAATACTGGGATTTGAAACATAATACTTAGTAACTCTTAGTACCCAATGTCTCCTGGAGCGTATCCAGTCTGTACACTAGGCTGTAAAATCAGCTTCCTGAAGTGAGGTCTGGAGACCTCTAGTGGTTGTCTGCAGTTCACGGAAAGAAGAGGTTAAAGACAGGTCAAAGTCTGAAGCAGGAAACCAAGATGCAATGACAGAGGGATGCCTCAGGAAGTTTAGAAACACTTCTGAAATCTACATCTGAATATAAAAATACTCTCCATTTATTCAGATATGATCAATAGGAGGAAAGCAATTGCTCCCTAATGGTCAACTTTACTATAAGGGTCACAGCTCCTAATAGCCCCATGTTCACTTTTCACACTTAATGAAATTTAGCTGAATGAATCCCTAGCTCCATAGTTAAAGCACTTGCCAAATGACTGTCAGGGCCAGAGTTTGTATCCCCAGATCCTACATGATGGGAGGTGGTGTAGTAGCTATCTGTAATTCTAGCACTTGAAATAATGGTTTCCCAGAGTGGTCTAGCTAGCTAGAACAGCAATACTGGCAAGCTCTGGGTTCACCTGATAGACCTGCCTCCATGAGTAAGGTAAGGAATGAGCAAAGAAAACATCCAGTAGCAACTCTGGGCCTCCATATGCACTCTCATACAAATTCATTTACACCCTTATGCACCTGTGCCGCAAACAAATATACAACAGGAGTGCACACACTATACATACACACACACAAGAGAAAAAGAGAAAAAGATCCATGTAGGCATTATAAAATACACTATTTGGGCCGGGTGGTGGTGGCACATGTCTTTAATCCCAGCACTCAGGAGGCAGAGCCAGGCAGATCTCGGTGAGTTCGAAGCCAGCCTGGTGTACAGAGTGAGATCCAGGACAGGCACCAAAACAACATAAAGAGAAAAAAAACAAAACAGTATTTGAGGGACAATGAAGAAACAGAATATATGACTCTAGAAAGTTAAAAAAAAAAAAGCAATGCTCCTTTGTAGATGCAAAATATAGAAGAAAGGAAGAAGCTATCCTTCTCTCTAAATTTCCATTATATCCTCAAAGAGGGTCAACTCTCAACACTACCTGCAGGTCAGCTGGGGTTCCAGAGAATCTTCACATCTCATCTGGCAGAATGCTGGTCATGCTGGAGAAGAGCTTCTGCTTAAAAAGGTAACGGGTGACTGGTGCATCCAAAACACTCCTCACTCCCAGTAAGGAATGGAAGGAGCCTGCTGGCCGCTGGAGCCATTGTCTCGATCATACCACAACCCAACTATGTACTATGAACTATGTACAGCCGAGAAAGTAAAAATAAGTGTAGCTTTCTATAAACAAGATCAATACCAGGTATGCTTTATAGTCAACTTGACAAGATTTAGAATCACCATGGAAACAAAGCTCTGAGCATGTATATAAGGAATAATCTAAATAAGGTTAACTGGGGTAGGAAGACCCACCCTAAATGTAAGTGGTTCCATTCCACAGACAAGGGTCCCAAACTGAGTGAAAAGGAGACAACCTCTTTTGGGTTGGGAACAGTCTAGGTCATCAAATGAATCAATGATTTTCTTCTAATTCCATTTATAGCTTTTGGGAGATCATGATTTGAAATAGAGTAGGAACTTAAACCTAAAGCATCCAGTTTATTATGACTGCTCCTTATGCTGCCTCTCTGTTCACCAATTAATCACATAAACTTCCCCAATAGGACAGATGCCTCCCTGATGCTGACTGGACATTATAAATGACAAGGATAATTACAGACCACTTAGAAAGAGGAAAGCGGCACTTTGGCTCATCTTTCAGTTTTAACTTATATATATATAAAACATATATATTGGTAATATATATATATAAAACATATATATATATTGGTAATATATATATATATTGGTCATAGTACTACCTCCTGGGCCTTCTATAAGTGACTGGCACATGCCTAAGTAATAAACACATACAACTTTATTTAACAAGACAAGAAACAAGGCATGATTGAGATCATGTAAAAATGCTACATAGTTACTAAGCCTTCACATCACAACAGCAGAGTGAGGAGGACCTTGGCAGTGTGTTACCTAGGATTTATGAGTACCTTCCAAGAGGGGCATTCCATAGCTGGCAGCCCTCAGCACTGGCTTTAAGCCCAGGCGGGCACGGGAAAACAATTTCCGTCCATGTTCTTTTAATGGTTCCCCATATTTCACCTTCTCATTTCTCAGTCATCCAGCCACTTAGGGAGATGAAGGGAGATGAGAGAAGAGATCTGAATGAGAATAAACCTCAGCAAAAGAGGCATAGCACACAGCCTTCTCAAACTTCATTCATGTTCTTGCATTCCTGGAAAAGCAGACAACCACATGCTGTCTAATTAGCAGCTGGGTGTGCACAGGTGTGGGAAGTAAAATTCACAGAGAAGAGCTCTAGACATGAGAAAGGTGTGTGGTGCCCTAGTTACTGGTCCTCATGAACACCATAGCCTCACTGGCTAGGTCTTTACCTCACAGAACTCTGTCCCATGCCAATGGTGAAATGTTGGAATATTCATTAAAGAAGTGTCTAACTGTGTTTGATAAGAAAACAAGCAAGGTGGTGTTACTCAGCAGCAACTATATTTGACTACATTTACCTAGCCCCTAAAATACTCTTGAAATATTGGGACAGGATCTTGAATTCTAGACAGAGTCAAGAAAATCCCCAGAAAGCGATGAGCCAATCCAACCACAAGTTTTTAAAAGATTTATTTGTTGATTCTGTTTATCTGTGTCTGTGTGTGGGTATGTGTATATGAGTGCAGATACACAAGTGCAGGTGCACATGGTGACCAGAAGGTGTCAGGTCTCCTAGAACCAGAGTCCCAGGTGATTGTAAGCTGCCCAACATGGGTGCTGGCAACATGGGTGCTTAGGTCCTCTGTAAGAGCAATACACACTCTTAACCACTGAGCCATCTTCTCCATGCCCCCAAAATTCTAATTCTTTTTAGTAGTACGGCATCAGTGTCAAGAAGAAAAGGGCTCAAGAAAGTACTAGAGATATTCTCTCTTGTATATTCACGCTCCAGATCAGCATGGAAGATATTATGAAATTAAAATTACTTCTTTCTCATATGTAGTTATATAACGCTTGCCAACTAAGTACAAGTGTACACTTTGAAGTCTCACTTGAGAAACCCTATGAAAAGAGAGAGCTTCTGAGAAACAAGGGACTTCAAGTAGAGTGGCTAGTGTGGATGACCACAGAGAACATCTGAAAGGGTTTGTGTAGTTTTAAACTGCATAGAGTTAAGCAGAAAAAAAAATGAAATGAAATTTCCTTTTAAGTATTTCAATAAAGAGAAAAATACCAGGAGTTATTGAATCACAGCAATGGGTCTAAAGGGAGTCTATTTGTCCAAGTTTGAAGTTTTCAACAATTAAAATTTTTTAAAACATCCTAATGGCTAGTCATAGTCCTAAGGACTTCACTGAGAAATGGGTAAAAGGTCCTTGCCAGATTTAACAAGTACAAAAAATATGAAACTGGCATTTTTCTATCTATACTTTATATAGCTGATGAGAATTTCATGTAATTTAAGAAAAACTGGTTGAAGACCATTCACTACATTTTATACCAAGTGATTTGTAATGCTTTATTCCACAGCAACAAAACACATGTGCCCAAAGGATGTATAAAAACATGTGTGTCTTTTATTAAGGAAAAGAAAGTCTTTCCCTGTCACCGTTTTTAAAACTCACAGTGTATGCTTTCCTTCTAAGACCTCTGAAAAGTTCTCCTTCACTGGAGAAAACTGGACAGAACCTCTGTAACACTGCATGGCAAGGGCGGGAAATGTTTCCAGCCAAAAGGACAGACAGGAGAGATGCCATTCGGAAGACATCCGGGAACTGCATTTCAGCTACCTCTTGCTAAGCTAAGCTCTCTTTTTTTTTCCTTCCAAAAATACGTCATTTAACTGCCTGTCAAAATAACCCTTGCCTGGTCTACCTGATCACACTCCAGAGCTGCAGCCTCCTCTGGATTCCCTCCTCAGTGACAAGCTGCTCAGAGAGCACCTAGTGAACAGCACACGCCCTCTGCTCCTGTCTCTCTTCCTGCTAGGACGAATCGCAGTCCATGGAGAGAAGTAATTAATGGGTTCATTACGTATGAAAGCAGCATCCCACCACTTGGCTGTCTGGTTTGAACGGATCCTATCAGCGTTTCATTCATGTTCAGTGTCTGGGATATGATAAAGCTGTTCTTCCTTTTGGATTTTTCCCTCACCACTCAGAAACCACTAGAGCAACGTGTTAACAGAAGCACTCAGGAAGAGAAGAAATTCTTCACCTCTGCAGACAGGAGGCTGAGGACGGAAAGTTGTTCAGGAGAAAGCCAAGAGAAGCAGAAGGTGCTAGAGAACAGCCGTACTTTGGAACACACAACAACGTTAATGCAGTGTGATTTGGAAACGTTTGCAATTCTGAATTACAGGTGAGCAGAACTTTTCCAGAGCATAAAACATCTGCAGGAACAATCAGGATTTCTCACCGCCGAGAGAGCCAATGAATTTTTAATAAGTTCTGAGCGCTGTGGTCAGATCAACTGCTGTTATCTGATAAAGGCAAAATTCGTCCTCTGATTTCCATAATCCTATCCAAATGGAGTCTTTGCCTTGCTGTGAGCAGTTCTAACTAACACCAACCACGGGATTAGCGGGCCTCAGAGATGCTGCAAGAAGTAAGACAACGCGGGTGAAAGAGATCACCCCAGCACAGTGGAAGAGGCATTTCGAGAATGAGAGCTTAGCATTCCTCACTGCGCTTCAGCCAACTGCTGCCAGGTAAGACTCAATTTTATAACATTAATTCATAGCTTGGCTATTGGAATGAAACCTGCTACTGCAGTGGGTGAGCCAGGAGATCTGAATTTCATGTGGTTCTTTCTCCCTTAAGCTTTATGCAGATTGAAACCTTCTGAAGTAAACACCTGTTTCTACTTAGGCTGCACGTTAGTCCCTCACAACTTGACAATAAAATAGCTTGCAAATCCCATTCATTTTTCACTGAATGATCCCACCTTTTGCTTCATTTTTTAGGAATTACAATTTTATTTAGTAACTTGAAAGCATAAGAAGAATCCAGAATGCTGCCTAAAAGGTACCCACAGAGGGTTCACCAAGCTTGCCAGGAAACTTGGGGGAAAGGAGGGATTCACAGGCATGGTTAGCAACATTTACGTCAATGTTTTTAAAAGGCTCAATAACTGACTTTAATTCTTAGCAAAAACAAAAACGAACAAACAAACAAAAACCCTAAATTGTGATGTCACTCTCATTCACACTGATGGAAACAACCTCTAATGGGGTGAAATGAATCTACCCCAAAGATAGCAGGGATATTTCTGTAGCAGAGCAAATAAGGATATTTAAGAACAGAACAAAAAGAAGTCTGGCACATTAAAACCTCAAAAGTTTTCATCCAGCCTGATAATCCAAACTAAAAATGCAAAGGACTAGTGAAGCCATGGGAGAATTTTAAAGGGTAGAGTGCATTGTACAAACTCCTTAGCACTCACTCCAGAATGAGGCTTCGAAAGAGACTTTCCATGTAAAAATCACAGAAAGGAATCATCAACCGCCCTTCACCTGATGACATTTTAATTTCTTCCATAAAACTTCATTGTTATGAAGTCATTGTCTTAGGTTCAATTGAAAAGTCAGGTTCAAAAATCTTTGCTATTTCTATTAGTTTGGAAGGGTGGAGCTAAGAAAACAACAAATGCACACCACACCTAACTAAAGAAATTTGCTAAGCCAAGAAAAACTGTCCAAAGTTGTTATTCTAACAACAAATGTGAGCACTGGGGAGATGGCTGCTGGGCAGACAGACCACTTGCCTGCCTGTGCAGGCCTGAATTCCGTCCCCAGCACAAAGTAATAGGAGGAGGAAAACCGCTCCATTTCACCGAACTCTTGGTTTTCAGTTTTTAACTGAGAGTGGGATACAGCACCCCTCTTTGACTCTTTCTCAGACACTGCATAGATAGTCTTAAATGTCACATACCTTTTGCATCTAAAGTCATTAAAGACTCTCACTTGTCATTTTCCAGTAACAAAGGCAAGCAGTAATTCCAGTATAGATAGTGGCCTGCCTGTCAACTACACCAATGTGTTTCAGGGGGGAAAAAAAAAGATGATAAATTCCAAAGTTTCACTTATGTAACAGCCTAACTAAAGGGCTAGGTTTTTGCTTTTTTCCCAAATCCTAACAGTTGAGACTTACTTGATCGTTACAGGTTCTTTTCATCTGTTTCCACTTTGTTTTACAGATTGACATGCTTCAAAAAAAAACTAATTTTAAGTGAAAAATGCCAAATAATATTTCAAATCATAATTTAAAAATTTAGTTATCTAGAGAAAAAGGAAATTTACATCATTGTGCAGAATGGAAGGGGATGTAAAATAATGGCCCTGGTATTTTACTTACTCACTGTTATGAGGAAGATTGATGTGCCACTTCTCGGGGACTTTGCTTCCTTCCATAGCTTAACCTCTAATGACAATAGATGGACAGACAGACACCAAATACCAACTCCTAAGTTAGTCTATGGCAGCATCAATGCCAGTGAACCTTCACTTTCTCTCCATTCAGAAAGCTACGTCATCCTCAGCAACAGCTTCCAAAAAAGACATAGTAATTCAGAACAATCTACAATTACCAATGTACTAAAAAGCTAAAAGCACTGTTATCTTTAGCATCTCATAGGTACAAATGGGTAGGGTTTATTTTTTATTATTTTATTTTATTATTTATTTATTTATTTGATTTTTTTTTTTTTTTTGAGACAGGGTTTCTCTGTACAGCCCTGGCTGACCTGGAGCTCACTCTGTAGACCAGGCTAACCTCACTAAAGATCTGCCTGCCTCTGGGCATGTGCCACCATGCCCAGCAGGTTTAGTTTTTCAAATTGTTTGTGTGGGGTGCATGTGTGAGACAGAGACAGAGAACAGAGACACAGACAGAGAGAGTGGTGGGTGGGTAGGTAGGTGGGCCACCGTATATGGAGAGATCAGAGGAAACTGTGGAATTGTCTCCTACCTTTATTGGGGATTGAACTCAAGTTGTTCAGTGAACCAGCATCTAAAACCATGTAAGGGGTTTTTAAGTGAGTACCTTAAGATTGAGTTTATTCATGAGAATTTTCCTTAGTATCAGTAGATTTAACAATTCATGAGATTTTAAATCTTGGCGAATAGTCAATGACTACTAATTGTTTCCGTGAATCAATAAGATACGGGGTAAATGTTTTAACTATTGTATCCTTATTAGTGACATCTATTATGCTATATCTTAGATTCTGGCCATTTGTATAATCCAAACTTCCATTTATATCATCCTATAAGTTTCCTATTTAAAGTATAAGAAAAACAGGTGCATGGGTCAAAATGAAGCTCTTCCACCAAGTGTCTCTGCTATCATACCAGTCTTTAAAAGGAAGTCATTTTGCCTGAAATGACAAGCAACATAATTTTATTGTTACATTTGTATGTTAAAATTAGAAATATATATAAAATTCATGTTAATGTATTAGCATTTATCTTATCAAGAAGCCCTATTTTAAGTGCTTTAAATATGTTTGCTTATGTACATTTGTGTAACTTATAAGTTTTTAATTTTTTGAAACAATTTTTTTAATGTAGTATAGTGGTGTGTACAGTGTTCTGCTTAATTCAATGGGTATTTCAGTAGGACTTCAGCAGGATTCTGTCTTGTGGTTCATTTTCTTTAAGAAGTGACTGAGTTTGAATAAAGATGTAACTCATCATGGACATTCTCCTCCTCTCCAGCTTGTTCCTGCTGGGAGAGAATGATCTTTGGTTTGTGACATCATGGTCTATGACTGGGGAATTGGCTGATATCAAATATGATTATACCCTTTCAGAGGAGCTAGATGCAGAAGAGCTGCAAGCATGCTCATTTCAAGTCACACCACTGAGACACCAGGAAGACCTGTGGCAAGAGCTGGATTAGGAAAGAAAAAGGCTTTCACAGCACCTCTCACTTTTCAGCATCAACTACGAAGGATAAAAGTACCACTTTACGGCATACCTCACTAATCATTTGAAACATTGTGGGGGATGTAAACATCATGTTACTTAATTTCACAGATGAGGAAAAAACGAGATAGAAGAAAATTCCAGTAAGCAAGCAAGAGGCATTAGTAGAGCAAGAAAAAGAAGTGACAAAAGAAGTCTCAGGTGCAAGACTGCCCCCAGTACAACTGGGGACATCAAGGCTACTCAAAAAAAACTTGAGAAAAGCTGTCTCAGTACACCTCAAATGGGAAAGACAGGGCCTCTCGCTGAGAGAGTCCCAAGTATACATTCTCATGTGGAGCCCAGGGTAACTAGTGTATGACATTCAAACTAATGTGGTAGGCTGGGAGTGAGAAGGGCCCAGTTAACACCCTTCTAAGAAAACAAGAATTTGTTAAGAGAGAATCTCCTTCATTAGTAAAAATACTGTGTTCCATAACATCCTTCAACATGAATTTGCAAAGAAAATATAAAAAGAATTCAGGAATTATAAGTCAGAGCTCAACACAGGAAGTGAAGACAGACGCTCCTCTTACCGACGCATGTACACATAGAGACCACCTTCCCTCTTGTCATCAGATTTGTCTGTAACTACAGTTAGCTTCCAATGACAGTGGCAGGCAGATGAGTCTTCCACAAACACAGGTGTAGTTTCCCTTTAGACTAATAGCAATTGTCCCAGCTCAAAACCCTAGTCATCTGTGATGGCCTCCTAGGTATAGAACATACACAAATATTACATACAAAGCAAAACAACTCTACACATGATTACAAGCCAACCTCATTATTTATGGTAACCCCTTTTGCTTGAAATGACAGAATGTGGCAAGACTGTAAAAGCACTTATCTGCTTCTATGTGCTGATTAATTACACTGTATTATTGAACAGTTGGGCAATCCTGACATCCTCTATTTTTCATATAACATAAAATATTAGGGGCTGGAGAGATGGCTCAGAGGTTAAGAGCACTGGCTGCTCTTCTAGAAGTCCCAAGTTCAATTCCCAGCAACCACATGGTGACACAACCATCTATAATTCCATCTGGTGCCCTCTTCTGGCATGTAGGCAGAATACTATATACATAATAAATAAATCTTTTTTAAAAATTAGTCAAATAACTCAAGAATCCAGATCAATCAGAAAATGCTTTTACAGTTCTCCTGTGCAATGTCATGCTGCTGCTGTCATCAGATCACATGATGATCCTTCCTACTCATCACCATAGAAACAGAGTATCAAATACTGAGCTCTCTGAACAACCAAGCAAGGGACAATGTCCAGTTTAGTTACTCTAATACAAACTTTGAACTTTCTGGAACAATACTCCAAAGAGGCTCGCTAGTGTACAATTAAAGTCATGGTTTTTGGCACTCCTTTAGTACTTAATCTCTTAGCTCTCACATACTGTTATAAGGACAGTCTTCTACAGGTGGTCATTTCTGGGGACTTGTAACACCTACAGAAAAGCCATTCATGGCTAGAAACTGCCCTAGCACTTGGAGACTGCTTCTCCTCTAAGACTTTGTCAGGTTATCACTGAAAATGTATGTTTGTCTTGTCTAGGAAACTCTGCATTACTTATGGGTGAGAGCCATAAGAATAATGATCATACCCATTGTCTATTTTCAAGTATGTTCAGAGATCAGTGGGTGTGCTCAATAAGTATGAAAATATATATTCCAGTAGTACATTCAAGAACAGTCTCAAACAAGCAGAAAAACAGAGGTCCTAAATATATGTCAGT